GAGAATGGGTTTGAACCCAGCCTGGACAGATAAAGCCAGTTGGCCAAAAGTCAGAACTGGAGGCATGGCTCACGTGGTAGAACTCCTGGCATAGCACGCACAAAGACTTGAGTTCAAGGCCCAGAAGATACAGACACAGAAAAGAAGAAAAAAAGTAGTGCGTTGGGTATTAAAATATGCTAAACTGGTTTAAAATCATAATAGATCTCAATTTAATTTTAGTTTATGGCATCCGGAGACTTGACAAAAGGCTGGTGAGGTGTGACCAGGGGATGTGACACGAGAAGATCAGGAGCTGTGGAAACTCACCATAAACCCCATGGTACCGTGCGAAAAAGTAGAAAGGAGAGGCAGGGGGCCATCCGGGGTGAGGCAGGGAAACGGAGGCTCCAGGCACAGGGCATCGGCCCTGCTCCAAGGCCGGGCTGGGCATCTCGGCCCAGGTCAGGCATCGGTGGTAGTCAGACAGAGGCTGCCGGAAAGCTTATGGCTTACTCCAGAGCCGGCGTTCAGCCCAGGCACGGTGAACGGTAAAGTCAACAGGAGCAGATGCTATCGTAAGCAACCTCTAATAAGGGAGCGATTCTCCCTCAGATAGGATCTCCTTGCAGTCACTCATGTGTAATGTAAATGTGACTCCATCCAGCTTCGTCTATACCCCTGAGGTTTTTTACGTGATGGTAACACTTATATCCCTATTTCAAAGGTAGTTGTGAATTAGACAGACAGATGATTGATAGACAATTTCATTTAAAAAACAAACACTGGAGAAAGACTTCTCTATGAATAACTTAAAAAAGTATTTTTAGCATTCATCTAACTATCCTTCAACTAGAGTGATTTAAAAATCCCTAAAACCCCAGGAGTAATTTTAAAAAACTACTAGAGCAATCTTTAAACCCCCGCATTACTACAAACCCTTGAACTAGAGCAATTTAAAAGTCTCGTCCACTGGGGAGGTGGAAATCTACAAAACTGAAATATCCCTACCTGTCCAATGAGGAGAACACGCTCTGCTAGAAAATCATCACTTTCCCAGCTCCAGCTCCAGCTCCATCGGGGACCGCGCTTCCAGGTGCCCCAGTGACCTGCGTTCTGAGGGAGAGGTGCACGGCAGGCTGTGCGGGGCAGAGTGCGGGGCAGAGCGCAGGATGGGGTCGCACCTGGGAGCACTGGCCATGCCCCAGAGGCCCCGGGGAAAACGGCACTCTAGTGGCCCAGGCCGAAGGCCCAGGGCGCCTCCCAGCCCCCAGTGAGGGCTGGGACACAGCTGTCCCCAGTCTAGAGCGTGGGCAGAGCAGGGCACAAACCACCATTCATGTCCTTGGACCTTTGTTCCTAGGAACACAAGTCCTGCGTCGCTGGAGACAGACAAGCAAGGCCTTCTGTGGGGCCACCCAAGTCTGCATGGGAGACCAGAGGCCCGCTGGGGGCCAGCATGCACTGAGCAGCGTCTGCCTGATCCTTGTCCCTGCCAGGTGGGAAGTCCACTAGCCCACATCACTGGGAGGGAGGCAGAGGGGTAAGAAAACTTACAGACTGAGAGCTCATCGGGGTGACCAGGCTGGGGTGACCCTGCCCAGGCCTTCCAACTGAAGTGTGGGCTACATTCAGAGCCACGCTGGTCCCTCTGGGGACAAGCACACAGATCATCTCTTTATACCAAGTGTCCAGGAAAGCCAAGGCTGCAGGCTGAGTCCTAACACTCAGTTCCCAGCCAGAGCCGGGGGGCCAGGGCAGCTCAGCTCCAGGGCCTGAAGCCCATGATGCTCAGTAACCATGGCAACCACAGAACCACAGCCATGCTAGGCTCCTGCCCCATTCAGAGCAACAGGCTTACAGAGGAGACGCGTCCGGCCTCGAGGTGAACAGCACCAGCTGTGGTCTCCACCGCTCCACTCCTGCTGCCTGCCTTTTACGGACAAGCAGGGAATAACAGTCCTAGGCACAGAAACAGCAACACCCAGAACCAAACTCACAGTCGGCACCTAGAACACAGAAATGCCAAAATAACTGCGAAAAGTCTACGCGAGAATCCAGCGGAGCAGAGGGCGGACGTGCCTGCAGGGGTGGGCCGATTACCTCAGAGACCGCAGCAGTAAGAAAAAGCCAAGTGGAAAAGTGGAGGGAGAGATTCTGTCATGAGCTCACCTCTGGCAGAATGGATCCGTTATGGAAAGATGGAAGGCATATGAAAAAGAAATTAAAATGATGACCGGCAAATACAAAGAAAGCAAATGCAGAATTAGACCTATAAGAACTGAGAAGCGATATCACATACTCCAACAGACATGCAGCTGGAGTCTCGGGGACATGCATAAAATACATACTTTGAACAGTCACGTCTTTTCCCCCTTGGAACAGCATTTTGCTGTGCAGATGAAGCTAGCTACAACTCAACACGAGGCCCAGGCTGGCCTTGAACTCATAATTCTCAGCCTCCACAATGCTCAAGTTACAGGCATATGCCCCCATCTGAAAACATTTTTATAACTAATTTTAAAATGTCAAACAATAGATACAAAGAACATCAGAAAACCCAAACCAGGATATCTGACAGACACACATGTACACACACATATGCACACAAACACACAAATACCACACTCACATACCTACACACACACACACACACACACACTCATCAGCAGCCCTGGCACCTCACAGTCAGAGAAGAATAGAAGACAGAAATAGAGAAAAGCGCGGAGGTGAGCAGGAAACAGGCCGTGGCGCCATCGCTGTGGGAAGTGAGAATGTCGGTGGAAGGTGACTCCTGCCATGAGGAAGAGCACCGGCCGCGCGCGCAGGGGGAAAGCGGAAGGTGCCGAGCTGCGGGGAGGGGAGCCGTCTCCGCTCAGGCCCCGGCCTCGGGATCTCCGTGCAACTCCTCAGCTCCTCACACACTGCAGGGCCTGCTGACAAGTGACGGCCCCTTAGCTACAGCCAGGCGGAGGAGCTCCTGGAAAGACCTCGCCTCCGTGCTCACGCCATACCTGCCTGTGTCCACCGGGTGCTCCCAAGGACCCAGCCTGCCCACGGAAGGCTGGCGCAGGGCCGTGTCCACCGGGTGCTCCCAAGGACCCAGCCTGCCCACGGAAGGCTGGCACAGGGCCACCATGGGTAGGGATAAGTCTGGCACGGGACCGGTGTGGGTCACGGACAGTTGTTCTCACTCTTACTTCACAAGTGTGTGTTTTAGTGAAACAGGAATTCAGCTATTTGCAGATTGGCAGTTCATATTTCAAGATGTCCTAATAAGTAGCTGGATTAAACATACTAAAAACTACTTTGGCAGCTTAAATCCGCAGTTCTCACTCAATGTGGTACAGGTTGTGGGGAGGTGACTTGTACAACTATTTTAATATCTATTTTTTTGGGGGGGTCCGGTCGTGGGGCCTAAACTCTGGGCCTGGGCGCTGTCCTTCAGCTCTTCAACTCAAGGCTAGCGCTCTACCACTTGAGCCACAGTGCCACTTCCGGCTTTTTTCTTTTTTGTTTATGTGGTGCTGAAGAATCGAACCCAGGGCCTCAGGCATGCAAGGCAAGCGCTCTACCACTGAGCCACCTTCCCAGCCCTTTAATATCTATTTTGAAACCTAGCGCACACAGAGCAGAGGCCTGGCTTCCTCCATTAATCAAGAAGCGCAGACGACTAAAGGAGTGTTGGTGCCAAGGAACCACAATGGTAGCAAAGCCAGCGCTCTGTGCGGATGAATGAAATCTAAATGTAACAAGCAATTATACACCTCCTTGCGTTCCCAAACCACGCCGGGGCTCCTCAGAGCTCACTTCCATGCTCCTTACTGAAATGTTTCTCTCTTTAAGGGAAGTATATTGATTAGCAATAAAGCGTGCTGCCGACAATGTGACTGATGAGGCTGGAGCTCAGCTGAGTAAGAGATAAATGTGCCCAATCGCCAGCGTCCACCTGCGCCTCCCTCCATGAAGAGCAAGTGAAAAGCCACAGCGGCAAAGCAACGTTGAGAGGGTTAGCACTGCCCGAAGTATGAACGAACCTGTGTACGCCGCCACACATGAGGTTTATGTTCTGCTGACAAACATTCACAAAACGTGTCAAGGAAGCAGAGGTTTGCGTCTGTGTGCGGGCCCCACTGCCCACTGCCACAAAGATAATCCCTCTCCTATGAACTGGAATGGACCTGCCCCCATGCTGGCAATGAGCGGGCAGTCTCACTGCAACGGGAGAGGCCCCTTCGCCGAGTCTCTGCGTCTGCTTTTTTATCAGCGGCTGGAAATCCGGCCTTTCAAAGCCGGCCTACATTACATCCCGCAGTGTTTATTATCTCAATTCACAGTGTCACCTCTTACGGCCTATCCACATATCTGCTCATTTGCAACTGCTTATTAGAGGCTCTGAATGGCAGCACGCAGCCGTTTGGTGCTGGCAAACATGTCCGAATCAGCTGCTGCACCCATGGAAACCCTTGCTCCGCACTTACAAGGGTTACCTGCACAGCCTAACACCAGGATGTGTGCATTTGACTTGTGTCTTCCCATTTATCAGACTATTAACTCAGTCTCACAACCAGTTTTAAAAGGTTACAGTCTCCTCTGCAGAGCCTTCTTCTAATTAAGATGAGTCACACACACGCATGGCCGGGGAGAGGCCGTGTTGGGTGAGCTCTTACTTCCTAAGAAATGGAAACAAGGTTTATGTAACCTAGATGGATATTAGGAATTTTCTGTTTTGGGATGCTAATAAGAATATTGTTCCTCATCCCTGAGAAAGTGTCAGTATGACAAATGGCCAGCTTCTGTGTTTATTTTTAACACCCAAAGCCTGCAATTACAGCCGCTGTTTTGTTTAATTATTTGAGATAATAACTTCTACCTCCTCATTCATTTGTGAAGTTTAACATCGCCTCATTAATCTGTGAGATTTCACCCCTACAAAGAGCACACCTTCATGGTTCCTTTAAGAAAATGGCTGAGCACAGCAGCGGGGAGGGGGAGGGGGGAGCAGCCCTGGGGGGCCTTACTTTTGTATTCCAGATGGAAGCCAGCAGCGGCCACACTGATGTCGGACTGGAAGTGCAGGTAGAGCTGGTTGGACGTGCTGTTCAGCAGTGCTGGCACCGTGGTTCCTGGGGGACAAGCACACAGGTGGGGCCTCAGACACAGACACCAACCCACCCGGCCCCGACTCGCTGCCTGTCTGGCCATCTCATGTTTCATCTGGCTACTCCAGCCAGCTACTCCACAACCCCCGCCCATCCTTCCCCCCACACCCCCCCCCGTGATATAACGCTCGCACGGGGTCTCTTCTACCACACTCGGGGTCAGGGGACAGGACCCTCCCTGGCTCTTCCTCTCTTTATCCATGCACTCTGTGGACACAGCTTGTGAGTTTTACTTCTAAATACAGGTGCACGACACATGGTGAATGTGAACAGACACAGTGCCCTCTGCGTATTCATTCTAAGAGCTGGGGATCATATCCTTCATTCTCGGGGTTCACTGCCATGCCCCAGGTCTGAAAAGAGTCAAACGTGAGGCCTCTGCTCCACGCTCGCTCGCCCCAGGCTCTGGGGACCCCGTGGCTGTGTGGTAGCAGAATTGGAAAGCCCACGTCCAACCAGGCCCTGGGGCCTGCACATTTCTTCGGACATAGCCACACGCGGTGGCGTGAGTGGCTGGGGGTTTTGGCACCCAGGTACCACGTAGCACCCAGAGGGCCGTCAGCCAGGGATGGGGGGAGCAGGGCTCATGGCTGGCAGACATGCCGAGGGACTGCTGAGGTCCCACACCGTGGGGTCTGCTTCCGGCGATCCTCGGCACGGATCACATACAAAATGCAACCGAGCAGTTTTTAAAAAATGCTGCTACAGGCAGAACATTTCTGATCCAACTGTGTTACTGTGACCTAGATAGCAGGACGCACAACAGCGGGGAGAGGGATTTTATCGCTGTCCCCGCAGACTTGGCTCCCCACTTCCCTTAATACCGACTGTCAGCTACAAATTCATATGCACGCCTCTGTATTTCATTCATTTATAATGTATAACCTGCCTGCTCCAAAACTGATTTCTAATCGCTCACACAAAGACCTACATATGCCTGTCCCAGTAGAAATGAAAATCAAAACTGGATTTATTTGAGATGTCAATCTAGCTGCCAGTGATGTGAACCTCTTATGACGACTCATTCTTGTTCTTACTTCATAACTTTTAAAATGGGTTTAATATCTCCTCTATAAATATTGTTGGGTATCATGGGAGTAAAAACATTTAAATATTGATTATGTTCCAAATCATTCAAACTTTTCTGCTGATTTGTTATTTCCATAGAATGTACTTTTTTTAAATCTCATGGTGACAGAACTACACCACACTGTCTCCAGGGTGACCATCAGGCCTGCACCACACTGTCTCCAGGGTGACCATCAGACCTGCACCACACTGTCTCCAGGGTGACAGAACTATACCATACTGTCTCCATGGTGACAGAACTATACCACACTGTCTCCAGAGTGACATAACTACACCACACTGTCTCCAGGGTGACAGAACTACACCACACTGTCTCCAGAGTGACAGAACTATACCACACTGTCTCCAGGGTGACAGAACTATACCACACTGTCTCCAGGGTGACAGAACTACACCACACTGTCTCCAGGATGACAGAACTACACCACACTGTCTCCAGGGTGAACGTTAGACCTGTACCATATTGTCTCCATGGTGACAGAACTACACCACACTGTCTCCAGGGTAACAGAACTACACCACACTGTCTCCAGGGTAACAGAACTACACCACACTGTCTCTAGGATGACAGAACTACACCACACTGTCTCCAGGGTGACAGAACTATACCACACTGTCTCCAGGGTAACAGAACTACACCACACTGTCTCTAGGATGACAGAACTACACCACACTGTCTCCAGGGTAACAGAACTATACCACACTGTCTCCAGGGTGACAGAACTATACCACACTGTCTCCAGGGTAACAGAACTATACCACACTGTCTCCAGGGTAAAAGAACTACACCAC